TGCCACAGTGACTCTACGGTGAGTGCGTTCTCTATTTTATAAGTAATTGCACGAATAAGAGATTGATTGACTGACTGACAGTTTATTGACTGGTTTACTGACTGACTACAGACTGACAGACAGAATGACTTTCTTGACTGACCTAGTGACAAAGAAAAAGGAGGGTCTTGAATGATCCAATATATTTAGTAATGTTTGCTTTTTGTATTGTTTTGTTTCAGGTTTACCTCGACAGATCTCTACGATGATACCTGGCAACACCTGTGTCTCACCTGGGAAAACACTCAAGGATTAACGAAACTCTATAAAGATGGTCAATTTACAGAACAAGTAACGAATGATGCCACTAAGAATTATGTACTAAAGGCTGGTGGCTTCCTGGTGCTTGGACAAGAGCAAGACTCTTTTGGCGGAGGTTTTGATGTTAAACAAACTCTTCATGGCCAATTGGCAAGTGTCAACATGTGGGATAAAGTTCTTTCCGAAAGCGACATTGCTGCTCAGTACACAAATTGCAGCGTACCTCGTGGTTCTGTTCTTAACTGGTCTGTATTCAAAAATCTTACTCATGGCAATGTCACAGTTGAGGAGCCGTGAACTAAATTGTTTAGTGATCAAACACTCTAGACTCGTAACTCACTTCATGTAAAATTCCTAAAGGTTAGTTGTTAGTGTATTTACTATAGGCATGACTGAATCACGTGGTATAAGTGTAATATAGATAACGAAAGTTAAAAGAACATGGTGGAACTTAAGCAAAGAAAACTCAATGAACAGAGATGTATGTTCCTGATTCAGGCCTAGATCTAGAATATGTGATCTTCACTAAAATTATTTGGTTCTGTTGTTAACTGGTCTGCATTCAAAAGTCTTGCTCATGGCAATGTCACAGTTGAATAGCCATAAACTGCATGGGTCGGTGATCAAAACTCTTGCAGAGCTTAAAATTATAACTCGCATGATGTAAATTCCTAATATTAGTGAATGTACCATATGCATGGCATAGTCCTAAAATAGATACCAAAATATGAAATGATATTTCGAAACGCTGAAACGCTGCTTTTGGCCAGTTATTTGGAAAACA